GCGACGTGGGCGGTCGCGGCAAGGAGCGCGGCAAGGAGACGCGCTCGGGACCGCCGAAGGGCGGCGGTGGTGGCGAGGACGACAACGCCTACCACTACTGTGGTAAGGCCAGGCACTGGAAGCGGGAGTGCCGGAAGAAGAAGCGGGACGAGGAGAAGGCAGCTGCGGCGGCGGCTGCGTACCAGCCACAAGCGAACCTGGCTCAGGCAGAACGGGAGACGCCTGCTCTGCACATGGCCGTGGTGACACTGTCTGAAACGGTTAACCACGGTGGGTGGCGCACCGAGCACGTCTTCCTCAACGAGCACAAGGTTGTGGCGGAGCTTGACGGCGATGGCGAACATGGGGAGATGCAATGGTATCTTGATACCGGCGCGTCAAACCACATGACCGGCGACGCGTCCGTCTTCTCCGAGTTGAACCCCGGCGTCCTCGGCTCCGTGAGGTTTGGGGATGGCTCGCTCGTGGAGATCGCTGGGCATGGCACGGTGCTGTTCGCGTCCAAGAACGGCGGACACCATGCTTTCCACGACATCTACCACATTCCTCGACTTCGGAGCAGCATCCTCAGCATCGGGCAACTTGACGAGCACGGCTGCAAGATCGAGATCGAAGAAGGGGTCCTCCGTATATGGGACCGGGCGTCTCGTGAGCTGCTCGCCAAGGTAAAGTGTACACCTAATCGCTTGTACATTCTCGCCATTGAAGCCGACGCCGCAGCGGTGTGCTCCGGCCGCCATGTCTGGTGATGCGGAGTGGAAGTGGCATGCCGGTTCGACATCGGGCTTCAGCGCCAAGAAGATGGGGCGCGAGGGCATGGTGCGAGGCCTGCCGCAGATTGAGCACGTCGAGCACGTCTGCGACGCCTGCCTGGCCGGGAAGCAGCGTCGAGCGCCGTTCCCGCAGGAGGCGAACTACCGCGCCGCCAAGCCTTTGGAGCTGATCCACGGGGACCTATGCGGCCCCGTCACGCCTGCAACACCCGGCGGCAAGCGGTACCTCATGCTGGTCGTCGACGACATGTCATTGTACATGTGGGCGGTTCTACTCGCCAACAAATCCGACGCCGAGGGGACGCGTTCATGAAGTCGCGCGGCCGAGTCGAGGTGGAATCCGGCGGAAGATCAAGGCGTTCGCTTGACCGATCGTGGGGAGTTCACGTCGGTGAGCTTCCTCGAGTAATCGCTCCGAAGCGCGGATCAAGCGGCACTCATCGCGCCGTATTCTCCCCAACAGTAAGCGGCGTGGTGGGCGGCCGGAATCGAGACCGCATACTCGCCATGGCACGGAGCATGATGAAGGCCAAGGCGGTTCGGCGGCGTGGGCGTGGGGAGAGGTCGTGATGACGGCCGTCTTCTGCGCTTCAATCGTGCCCCGACAAGAAGCTTGGTGGGGCGCACGCTGTATGAGGCCTGGTACGGCCAGAAGCCGACTGTCCACTTCCTGCGTGTCTTCGGTTGTGTGACGCATGTGAAGGTCACCAAGCCGAATGCGGGGAAGCTCGACGACCGGAGTGTGAGGATGGTGATGATCGGCTACGAGCCTGGGTGAAGGCATATCGGGTGTTCGACCCCGTCGGCAACCGGGTGCACGTCACACGCGATGTCGTGTTTGAGGAGGACGCGGCCTGGGACTGGAGCGTAGCCGACAATAGTGGTGGCACGGAGGGTGTCACCTACGATCTTTGCCGCCAGACACGCTTCGTGGTGGAGTATGGACCGAGCGAAGGGGAGATCGGAGGGCATGCTAGCGCCTTCCCGGATGGTTGCTCCAACGCCGCCCTTGACGGTGAGGGGCGATCAAGGCGCGACGCACACGCCACCGCTTGGGGACACGACTTTCGGCGCATCAATCGGCGTCTTCGTGCGTCATCGAGCTCTGCGGCATCATCACCAACAGATCGTCACCGCAAGACACCGCGAAAGTACAAGGCGGGACGTTCTGTGGCAAGGTGAATTTGCCGAAAAGGGGTACTATGCGGGTGCGATTCGTGTCTCCTATGACAGTGCAAATGGAGGCGTTGGACGCGGACGATGATGAAGAGGCCGCGACCGGTTCAGTAGTCGTCGACAACCTCCGTGACGACGCACGACGACGACTTGGTGGCGGACGGCGATCTGCTCCTCGCCGCGGACGCGGAGCCGTCCACGTTTGACGAGGCGGCAGGACATGAGGAGTGGAAGCGGGCCATGTCGAAGGAGCTCAAGTCCATCAACGACAACAAGACTTGGATGCTCACCGACGTGCCTCCAGGAGTGAAACCCATCGGCCTCAAATGGGTTTTTAAGATCAAGCGCGACGCTGACGGCAACATCACCAGGCACAAAGCGCGTCGGTGGCAAAGGGCTATGCGGTGTGTACAAGGCGTCGACTTTGACGAGGTGTTTATACGGTGGCGCGCGATGGAATCCGCGGCGGTTCCTCCTCGCCATCGCCGCGCAGACACGGGTGGATGGTGCACCACCCGATGTAAAGTCGGCATTTCTCAATGGAGACTGGCGGAGGAGGTGTACGTCGAGCAACCGCCGGGTCATGCAATCCGAGGAAGGAGCGCAAGGTGTACAGCTCCACAAGGCGTTAGACGGGCTTGGCAAGCGCCCCGAGGCTTGAATGCGAAGTTGGACAGCTCACTGCGGTCTCTTGGGTTCGGATGCGGTGAAGCCGAGCAGCACGTGTGTCACGTCTGGGCTCCGTGAAACCGCTACTCGTCGGAGTGTATGTCGATGACCTCGTCGTGGTTGGAGCGGACCGACGAGGTCGATCGCTTCAAGAAGGAGATGGCCCGGCTCTTCAAAGATGAGCGATCTCGGATCGTTTGCACTACTACTACCGGCATCGAGGTTCGTCGTGGCTCCAAAGGCATCACACGCTGTGCCAAGGTGCCTTTGCGGACAAGATCATCGAGAAGGCCGGGCTCACGGGTGCAATCCTTGCAAAGACTCGATGGAGCCACGACTCAAGCCGAGCAAGACGAGCTCGAACCCTCCGGTGGACAAGACCCTGCATCTGCAGGCGCGTGCCGGAGTCCGAGGTACTTGGTCCATATACGCCCCGATATAGCATTCGCAGATTGGTTATGTAAGTCGCTTCATGGAGGCACCCACTACCGAAAGCTTTGAGTCTTTGTTAAGCACCGCTGAGGTACATCGCCGGACGAGGTCCTACGGGTGTGTTTACCGGCTGGCGGAGGGAGCTCGAACCGATCGGTTTCGATTGATGCCGATCACGGGGGACAATGACGACCGGAAAAAGCACTTCCGGGTGTTCTTCTTCCTCGCCGAGAACCGGTTAGCTGGCAATCGCAGAATAACGCGTGGTGGCGCCGTCATCGCGGCGAGGCGGAGTACATCGCCCGGCGCTACCATGGCGTGTCGAGGGAGTGTGGCTGTCGCGCCGCTCGCTGATTTGGTGAACGCTAAGGTCATCGCGCCACTTTGCTCTACATCGACAACAAGTCAGCATTGGCGCTGGCTAAGAATTCGGTGCTCTCCATGAGAGAGCAAACACATTGACGTCCGGTTCCACTTCATCCGTGGATCGCATCAGCTCGGCGTCATCGAAACGGACTACATCGGGATGGTGACCAGGTGGCGGACCTGCTCACCAAGCCACTGCCCGCGAACGTCTTCTGGAACTGCGTGGTCGGAGTGGCGTCGTCAAGATCAGTCCGGCGCAACAGAATTAGGGGAGTGTGTTGAGTTTACTCTTTCTGTTGCGTAAAAGGCGTGTGTCTATCTTCAGCATGTAGTGAGGTGAGCACGGCGCTTCCTTCGCGTCGTGCGCATGTGTGTGTGTGGGAGGGACTTGGTCACCCGGCAATGTCGCCCACGTCGCGTGGCTGTGGGATGGCGCAGCAGAAAGCGCGGGGCGTGGGCGGTACTGAGTAGTGCCAAGTCTTGCATGTAATCAGGGTTAATAAAATAGAAGAAAAAACTGAAAAGCAGCAGTTCGTTGCGCTGCACCAATTTTCTGTCCACTGAGTTCATCGTTTCGTTCTTAGCGTTTATCGAATTCGGAGAGAGGGATAGTGAGCGTTCCAGCGAGTATTGATCCTGTGCAGTTTCAACAACACAAGCCACCATGCTAATGGCTCGGGTGCAGCTGGAGGATCTCCCGCTCTGTCTGCGCACAACTCAGCTTCCGCCGGCTCTCCAGCGCCGCCTTGTCCATCACCTTCATCGGGAACCAGCAGGGCCTCCCCACGCCGTTGTTGCCAGCGCCTCCGCCGCGGAGCTCGGATAGTTACACCGTCCCGATGTCGCCGCACCCGAGCCTCCGTAGCAGACGACGCAGCCGCGTTCCTCGCCGCGCTCCGCTCCGCCGCGGGTGCCGCGGGCACGGGAGCTGCCGGGGACGCCGTATGGGCGGCGGTGGCGGCAGCGGAGGTGCTGCAGCCGGAGCACTCGCACGCGCTCTACCAGCTCGTCTATTACTCCGCCTATGCCGAGTGGGACCGCGCCGCCCAAGGCCCCCGCCGTACTGGTTCCCAAAGTGTGCGACGGAGCTATCCATAATAACCATATTGGGCCCCATTGGGTCAGCGGCTAATACAGATGGAGCAACCAGTGCTCCTCCGGAAATCAGTTGGATCGCTGGATCGATTGCGGTTCGCTCCATGGATCACCCACCCCCAACTTGATCCGCAGTAGGAGTCAACTACTCAGTCAAGCAATTAACACTTGCAGCATGACAGCAAAGACTTCCCCAAACAGAGCAGCGAACGCCATCCCAGCGAAAGCGGAACATAAAATTACCTCGTATATAGCGCTCGCTCGCACGAGCGGCACACGCTATACGCGTCTTCATCTAGATTCTAGACTATGTATGACCCGAGTCGTACGTCTGTCTATCCAAAATCCAAATAAGCCCCGAAAATTCTCAGCAAATTCGAACAGATAATTACGGAGCACGCACCGTAATTCATAGTTTCAGACAGCTTGGAAATGGTGCAGCACGCAGCGGAGCGCGTTGAAACGTAAGCAACGGAGGCGAGAGCGTACCATGAATCGGTGGAGTACTCGTAGAGCTTGCCCTGGGTGGAGAAGATGATGAGCGCGACCTCGGCATCGCAGAGCACGGAGATCTCGTGCGCCTTCTTGAGCAGCCCCGAGCGGCGCTTGGAGAAGGTCACCTGGCGGTTGATCTTGTTCTCGATCCGCTTCAGCTGCACCTTCCCGCGCCTCATCGCCGCCGCGCCTCCTCCCCCTCCTGATCTCAACCAAAATCCTAGCTCACCCTCTATCCTATCCTCTAAGAACAGGCACGTCGCTTCGGCCGATGCCGCCGCCGACGACGACAGCAGCTATAAAACTAGTTAGCTACCTTCCTTGTTCCTTACGAGAGGCTTGATTGACAGGATAACTAGGCCTACAGTTGTAGATAGTAGGCGCTGGCGCTATGGCGCCGGCGAGTGCATGACGTCACAGCTAGCTGCGGCGGTGGAGAGAGACTAGAGAGAGGGAGAGGGAGAGGAGGTGAGGTGAGGGACCGGCCGGGAGGAGCGGATTTAAAGCGGTGATGCGCGCTGTCGCGACGGATCGGAGGGGGTATCGCGAAACCGGGTGGTTTCCGCGCCGCCGCTGTCGAACAGCCATTGGCCGATGCCCCGTGCCCGGGCCCGCAGGCCCCCACCGCATCTCTCATCGCAAGGGCCGACCGCCAGGGCCAGGGTCCTTCCTCGTACGGTCGAAACCGGCTGCTCTCTCACAGGCTCAGAGCTATTATTAGCCTGGCACTAAGTAATGACAACAAAGGCCCCGTTTGATGATTTTTCTCTCATAATAAATTAACCAGAATAGTATTTTGACTTATTTTTTCAGTGAAGCGAACGGAGCTAAAAATGTGGGCAGGTGGCAGCAATTATCATTTTTCCTTATCTATATATCTATATTTAGAATATACCCCCTCAGTAAAAAAACGCAATTCTAGCTTTGAATCTGGACACGTGACGGAGGGAGTATAATAAAGTAGTCCTATACTGTAGTAGAGTAGTATATTTAAAAAATCTCACTAGATTCGTTGTTGACAGTAGTACAGGGTCAATTATATTTCTGTATCGAATTTGTTTGTGGACCCGATTTTATTATTTTAAAATTGCACAGTGGTGCTGGTGCCCAAGCCCAAGCATTGGAGATTTCAGATCGTTTGGAGTATGCGGCATGTTGTTTTTGTTGCTTTTTTAAGCGAGGCGTACGTGCACCGTGCATGTGATGAAAGCTGCGGGGGAAGGGGGGATGGGGGGCGTCTCCGGACGCGAGTACGGGGCGAGACCAGGGCCTGTTGGGAGGGTGGCCCGACGGTCCGGCTGCGTCCTGCGCCCGTGAGCTGTAACTCTCGTGTTTGGTGCACCTGCCCACGAGCGAGCAGGATGGAACAGTATTTTTTTCTTTAAAAAATTAGCGTACAACTCAACACGAGCGAATTTACGAGCAGCCGAACGCTCCCTCAAATTCGCTTCTCTCTCCTGGTCGCGGTCGTTTCCTGGCGGCTCGGCCGGCTTCGACGTGTGAGCGCTCGCTCAGGTCACCTCTCGCTCGAGTATCCGACCTCTCACCTCCCGCTGCCGCACTCTTGGGTCTTCGTTCACGCTCGCCGCAGATGCCAAGGCCGCCGCTGCAACCCCATCGTCATGGCCGCCGGCACAGTACCCTTTCTCGCTCGCGCTGCTGCTGCTCGCGCTGGGACACGGTGAGCGCGCGTTGCTGCTCGACGGTGCCAAGGCGGCGTGCGACGTCCAGCGCCGCTTCGCGCCTGCGCCGCTGCAGCTCATCAAGGAGGGCCTGCTGGAGAGCGTGGCGGGGAACCCGGGGCTGTGCGTGGCGTTCCGGCTGAACCTAACAGACCCGGCGCTGCCGCTGTGCCCGCGGCCGAACCTGCGGCGGGGGCTGGCCTGGGATGTGTGGGTGGTGGGCGGGTGCACGGTGGCGACGCTGGCGCTGGCGCGGCGGTGGGTGCTGTGGGCTCGGCGGCTCGCAGAGCACGAGGGGGCGCTGCGGCCGCCGAGCAGCAAGCAGATGGACTGGACGGCGGTGGTGACCAGCACCACCACCGTCAACAGCAGAGACAGCAGGAACAACGACGGCGGGTGGTGCGGCGGTGGCGGCTTCTTGGCCAGGGATGGCACGATGGCGGCTTCGGTGAGGGCGTAGGAGGAGCTGCAGCTGAGTCCAGGTGAGGGCGTTCCCCATGCCGCTCACCCTGTTCGATGAATGCGGTTACCACGTTCTCAGTCCAGGGTCACCGTATTCGTCTGTACACAAAACAAACACGATCTAAATCATAAATCATGCTCGGCTTTGCTGGGCCACGTTTTCAAACATGACATGAGCACTTGCAGCATTTGGCTGCCTGTTCGCTTGCTCGTAAACGATCGTAAATTTTCAGCCGAGAACAGTATTTTTCTCTCATACCAAACCAGCCAGCAGTAAATAATCCACGATACGATACGGCCTCCCGAACGAGCTGTGGACCTGACTCTGGCTGTCAGGCCGGCCAGATACATGTTACCAAACAGCCCGGAATCTTTGGGCAAAACGGGGAAAGGGAAGCAACAACGGGTCGCCTGGCTCGGTCTGTTTGTGCGGTCCGGGGAGGAGGACAGCGCGTGGGGCGGGCTGCGGCAGCAAGGGGCCACGACGGGGACGGGCCAGTGCGCGATACCCGTCGCTGCTGCTGCTGCACGAGCACGATGCGGCGGCTACAGGTCTACGGCAACAGTGCTGCTGTCAGCGCCCGCTCGCTGCTACTCTCGCCTAGGCGGCCAGGCCCAACCCACCCATGAGGCCATGCTGCGGGGAGGCGCAGGACTGACTGTGATTGGCGGCGACCCGACGGTAGACAGCGGCGAGGCAACGGCAAGTCGGCAACTGCAACCGACCGATGTGAGCTGGCCTGGGTGTGCCGTGGTGACTCTGGTCGGGTGACGGGGCGAGGTGAGTAGTAGTGCACACGGCTAGTCGGCTAGGCGGCGGTTAGCTGTAGGGTATTTTTGCTACTTTTGTTGCTCGTGTCGTGGGTACTTTTGGGGTAAAAATGCCAAAATGGTGAAGCTATGCGAGTCCAGTCCAGCATCCAGTGGAGTGGACCACTGGTCGGTCGGTCCACTGGCTAGGACCGAGGCTACACTACGGACCATTTGTTCTTGCGATTGCGAAGCGAAGCGCGTCGATGCAATGGCACTGCCTAGGGCCTAGCACTGCCGCATATGCTGTCTCAGAGGTAAGTGTTGTCCTTGGATTCCATTTGCGAGCCTACTCGGGGCGTAACGTCTACTGACGTGGACGCATGACGCATGCCCCTGTTTAACGTAAGCCAAAGCGCAGTGATTGGATTGGGTTGGGTACGCGTACGCGAAGCCAGCTAGCTCAGATAAAAGCCTGGTATGATTGGGCGAAGAGCGTCTCGTCTCGTCAGTCAACACCGGCATAATCAGAACTAGGAATCGCGTAGGCAATGATGTGGTACGTAAAGTAGTATCAGGCACGATGAGTAAGCGGCTGTACAACACACGTACGGGAGATGAACGAATATCCTGTGTTCCATATCAACAAAGGATTTACTCAAACTTTCATGCATTTCGGTTCGAACTCATGGAGGATTGAAAATCTAGACAATGCCAACCATGCAATCTTGCTATATTCAGGTAAGTCTACTATGGCTTTTTATTTATCGGTAGTGCTAGCGTCTGGACGTCCAGACGGACATCCACGCCTGCACCCCGTTCCCTGCCGCGACACACGCAGCTCCCTCCGCCCTGCGTCCATCCTGCTCCGGAGGCGGCATTTGTCCGGAGCTCTCGCGCTTGTGCCCGATGCACACGGCTCCCGCGCCCCGCGCCGATCCCGTTCAGGTCGAGCTCGAACTGCCACTGCGGGAAAGACGGAAGGGAAGGGAGAGGAGGGAGAGGGCGAGGCGCGCCGCACGGGAAGGCGCGAGGTAGGAGCCGAAGCCATGCGGCAGGGCGCTCTCCGCCAGCCACCGGCGCCGTACAACACCCGATCTACTTTTGAAACATCCAGATAAAACATATGCAACATACGTCTGAAGACAGATGAAACACTTGAAACATGCGTGTATAGCCACTGCCTCATGTGCAACATCAGATGAAAACTTTTAAAACATCTAGATGAAACATTTTAAACAAACGTCTGAAACATATGAAACGATTGAAACATATGTTTGCAACATGCGCATGATCAGCCCTGAGGGCAGGCGGACAGGGGGTGCCCCCAGACCCCCAATCCCATGGGCCCCATCCCAGGTATATACATACTATATAGTATTCAGTAGTACTCCGTATATCCGTTGCTTGGTTAAGACCCAGCAGTGCAGTTTGCGTCGTTTGCTAGCCTGCCTCCAGAAGGCCTTCGGCAACTCGCGACTCCTACCTATCTGGCCGACTCCCGATCGACGAATCGACGATCGTTGGGTCGCTCCACACCTCGACTCGCAGAGACGTGACTTGTCGAGACGCGAGTAACAAGACGCTGTGACGCCGACGTGATCAACCGATCACCCCACGGGCAACGGCGGCGGGTGGCCATCTCGGACTCTCCTTTCTAAAACGATACTAGGCGTAGCTCTGACTGCTTCGTATGAACCAGGACACCAGGTATGCCATATGCCCTATGCAGCATGTCCGTATAGTCCCAAAAGCCAAAATCACCCCAAGGTGAAAATAAGCTTCCTACAGCGAGAAGAAAAAAAGCAAGGACGAGTAGATGAATTAATATGATCGCAGAGATGGTCTATACATAAGTTATTTAAGAATAATTAAAGCGCTTCAAGAGATCCAAACAAGTTGGTGATAGTTGTTGTCGAGGAACCAAAACATACCATCGTTAATGACTTCGCACCGAGGAACGTTAAAAAAATTTAAAATATGTATGTGTAAGGGACCGTGACGTCTAAGAGGGGGTGAATTAAGCAACTTAAAACTCTAATTCTAAACTATGGCCTCTTGTTCTAACCTTAGCAAAATCTACGCAAAAGGATAAACTATCTAAATGTGCAACTACGGTTTTGCTAGTGTGTTGTTATCTCTACCGTAAAAATAAGTTATGCAACCTAGGTTCCAAACCTATCAACTAGTCTATCACTAAGTTAGGAAAGTAAAACACAAACCAAGATTACAATGTAAATGCGGAAGCTAAAGAGTAAGGTAGAGATATGCAATCTCCCGTCGACGACTCTAGTATTTTTACCGAGGTATCGAGAAGCGCACAAGCTTCTCCCTAGTCCTCGTTAGAGCCCCTCGCAAGGGCCAAGCTCCCGATCGGGTAACTCCGTGGATAGCCCCGAGCCTTCCCCACACGCAAGTGGGTCTCCGGTGTGCCTTTCGGCAAGTCTCTCCCAGACCGCTCCCCGCCGTCTTCACTATCAAGCTTCCGGCCGAACCGCCGCGGACCTTGTTCCCTTCGGTACACGGTGGTGGCCACACGACAAACGCAGTTGGTGTGATCTCGTAAGACTACAAGGCCCTTCGATGTACAACAATGATGCGCGCATGCACCGAGTGGTAAGAGGTGTGCAAGCCTCACTAAACACTAGGCCTAAACCTAGAGCAAGCACATAAGCGGTAGTCTAACTAACCTAAGCACTTCGCAAAGCACCTACTCTAATCACCGAATGTACCACTAAGCACTATGCAAGTAGAGATCACTAAAGTGGTGTATCAACACACTTGGTATGTTTCCTCAGTTCTCCACCGTCTCAAATGGTCGGTTGGGGGGGTCTATTTATAAGCCCACCAAGAAAGTAGCCGTTGGGGGCGAAACCCATCTTTCTGCTACTGACCAAACACTGCTGTCGTCCTGACCGGATGCGCCCAGTCATCCTGACCATTAGAGCGCACGCGTTGATCGGACTTTGGGCCAAGTCTGGTCTCACTCGATCGGACACGTCCGGTCGCGCCGGCGCCGCTCTGGAACCTCTCTGGATTTGATCGGACACTGTACTTTGTGCGTCCGATCGTCCAGTGCCGCTGCGTCCGGTCACGCTGAAAACATTGCCGTGACGAGGAACAATGTCATCAGTGCGTCCGGTCACTGCTTCGCTCAGCGTCCGGTCACAGCTGCTGATGCCTGCTGTTGCCGAGCAACTGATCGGACGCGTCCGGTCCCCATAAGGGCTGCGTCTGGTCACCTGTGCTGAGCTCGTTTCTTCGTAATCTTGTGTCCGGCTTGGTTCCCATCTTCGTGCTTGGACTATGTTTGATATCTTGGGTCTTCTCTTGTGCTTCTAGGGTCTTGGTTATGGTGTTGATCGTGGGATCATTATGTCGCCTTCGTCCAAGTCATGTCTTGCACCCTATTGAACTACAAAACAATTACTTGCAAATTCATTAGTTCAATTTGGTTGTGTTGGTTATCAAACACAAAAATCCAAAGTAAATGGGCCTAGGGTCCATTTTCTTTATAATCTCTCCCTTTTTGGTGATTGATGACAACACGACCAAAACAAGCAAATAATAAAAATTTTGGAATTTAAAAAATATTTACTTGCTAGGATGCAATGCAAAGGGCAACGTTATATGATGTTAAAAGATACCACATGTAAACATCTTTGAAAACTTATCTTGCCCTTGCAAATGTCCCCATGTGGCATTATGGATTTAAGCCTCCCCCTAACTCCATAATCAACTATCCTCCCTTTCTTGGACCATTACCACTTATAAATTATTATGATCGAGTTTGCTTTTGGTCCTACAAATTCTTCCCATTTGGAATCAAACACCGAAAAGAAAGATATTAGTAGCACAAGGAAGGGTCAAACTTTGTGATCCTTTGTATGTGGAGTGGAATAGGTCATAAAATTTGACTTCCATATTACATTGACTAAGCTCTCCCTAAATATATGCATACATATGATGGAGAATATAGTTTATGCATAATTGGCAAATTAATGCTCAAAGGAGTTTAATCTATATAATGCATGGAGAAAGCATATAAATATCAAAGTGAAATCAACATGATGATATCAGTTTAGAAATACCACATGTGGAAACAAAGTTGATTTATACCACTTGCAATAGGTGGTGGATATTTGAAGTATGATGTCGTCGGTGCAAAAACGTGTCAATACGCCTAGCACACAGCAAGCCGGAAGGATTTGCTTGATGGAACAAGGCTGGAGATCCGCTTGGCTTCAA